GCAAGGCAACGCATCAGCTCAAGCACGAGCACGAGCACGAGCACGAGCATGATTCAGGAGCGGCCTGACTCACGCGTCCATCGGGTAAAGTGTCCCAGACCAATTCTCCATCCAAGAGCGTCTCCGATCGAGCTTTCCACCTACCGCCATCGACTGCTTTTTCGTCGTTTGGTGTTGTGCGCTCATGCGAAGGGAAGAAGAGACTTCGTGTTTGCTCGCGATACACGTTCTTTCGATTGATCTGCAAGCGGGGCCGCACACGGCGATGGGTGGGAGAATGATGAGCGATGCGTGCACGTGACGAGCAGAGAGGAAGAGAAAGAGAAAGAGGGAGAAGAGTGCCGCTTGCCTCGCTCATCTCACCAGAAAGACTTCTTGACAACCTTGCGCCTTGTTCCATGCGATCAGCACCAGCACTCTTTGTCCATCCGACTTTTCGCACACCCAAAAGCTGCATGGAGGCCGCGGGATGGGGCGTCAATGTGCATCCACACGGGCTTCGATGCAAACATCTGCCACGTAGCCCTGCCTGCGACGCTCTTGACTCACTCTTGAGACTTGAGCAATTCCAGAGAGGCTTTTGTGAAGGAGACAGGTTGAGCGCCGGGAAATCTGTAGGGCGCGCGCCCAGTCAAAAGGGCTGCATACATCAGCAATGCTCTGCTCTGCTCTGCTCTGCTCTAACCGCAGCCCAAGCCAGCACCACCGACGACAACACGACACGACACCACTGCTCGGAGCCACACTCGCCTATTGTGGGAAAGATTGCACAGCTTGGCTACGTGCCTCCTCAACATCTCTGCTCGATCTTCAAGCACAATCTGACCGGGCACATCCGGTACGCTAGTCGTGGCAGCAGGCTCCATTCCCATTCCCATTACCATTCCCGCACCCGCTCTTGCTGCCCCTCCCGCACCACCACCACTGCCTGCTGAGTAGTTGCTTGGACCGACAGAGGAGGAAGATGCGCGTACCGCTTGCGCATTCTGATACGCTGCGTACGACATGGGTGACGCTGCAGTGATTAGCAGGAGTCCAAGTCGTTGGCGTTGGCGATAGAGTGGGAGTCACAGTGGAAGGATGTGCCTGCCTGCTGCTTACACTCAGACTCGAAAAGTCGAGGATGCTGGCGCAGTCATACAGCCCGCCGTGAGGGGTAGATGGAGTTGAGTGACGAGAGAGAGTCTTGAGCATCGTCAACTCGCTCGCCCGCACACTATCTCACACGCAAGACCAAGACTGCATGCACGCCACGCCACGCCACGCCACGCCACGC